TGCTTTGTTTAGGGGAAAACGTGCCGGGGTGGCCGTGCAGTGGGTGTCCTGCGGGTGCTCTCTGGTGTGAAGGAGGAGATGTTGGACACTGGCATTCTCTGCTGTTCCCGCAGTATCTGTTCAGAGAGAGGGGTATCGGCACCAGATACTTCTTATAGAATAAAAACTTGCGTTTTGATGAAATGTTTGGCAACTTCATAGTCCTGCATCCCACAGTAACATCTGATGGTCAGAATTCCGAGTGAATGGATGACCCTGCCAGTTGAAAAGCAGGTACTGGCTGGTGCCCTTTCCATTTCTTGCACTTAAAAAAAGTCAAGCTTTCATTAAAATAATTTCAAAGCAAAATAAAAGTGTTATCACTTTTATAAATCTGGCTGCTGTTGTGAACAGCTTTCATAGTCTTGTTATCACTTTCTAAATTTGCCAAAGAATATTCCTCAGGTGAGTGCAAAACTGATGGGAGGGGGCTTTCTAGCACTGCAGTGTATCTGAATGACACAAAATCGAGCTAATCATGGGGAAGGCGGTCACAGCTTTTAACATGGAGAACCTGTTTTCTTCCTGTCCTGTAGCTTAGCTCTTGCTGGTATTTTCACACACAGTTGCTTCATCTGAAGACTTTCAGATCTACTTTAACTTGCACTAATCATTTAAGAAAATGGTGTTTGCACGATGTTGTCATAGCCCTGACAGGAGGCAATAGGTTTCGGTTCCAGTGGCCTTCCAGGGAAACTTGTTCTTACTCTTGTGCTGGTGCTTAGGTGTATCTTAGCCGTTAGCTCATAACGTATTTGGGTTAAAGAATGTTTTGTTGTGATATTAAAACATGAAAGGTAAAAGTCACAAACCATAATAAATTCTCCAATAGCGTAATTTTTAAGAAAACTAGTACACTTTGGTTGACAGTTGGCCACAACATTATAATGGAAGACTGCTGAATCTTAAAAGCAGTTGCAGAGACTCTTAGCTGTGTAACTACTGAAAAAGAATTTAAATGGATTATGAAAGATTAGTTCCCTTCCCTAGCTGTGTTTTAACAGCAAAACAAACATACGGCCTTTTTCTCAGGAGACTGAGCTATTGACTCTTGGGTGAGCGTTCTAGGAAAGAGCCTATTTCTCTGTTATTGTATGCTTGCTGTTATGCCCGGCTTGAAGTATCTTCTGCCAGGTAGGACAAGAGGCTTATCTTGGCCTGTCTTGATACTGCTGTTGTGATATTCTGGTTTTGCTCCTTGAATTTTTTTCCTTCTTTTAGACAAAGTCGTTAAAAACCCCTTTCTTCTTTATTCTCACAATATTTGCAAGTAGACTGTTAAGTATTTTTGGAATTAAAAAGACATATTATTGTGTCCAGGTTTTGTTGAGAGCAGGGGTTTGCAAAAATCAGACTTGAAGTTAAATTTTAAAATTTCTTTCCATCTCTGTATGCAGAGATTGTTACCTCTTACTGAAACAATATTGTATTTCATCTTTCATGATGTGCAAAATGCTTTTGGTTTTGTGTGTTGGTTGTGTCAGTGAGGTCTCTGAGTTTGGACAGAAGCATAATTGATCACTCTCATCACTTGCATCTCCCCTCTCTGCTGTATTTCCCTGTTCCATCCTGCAGCTGACCTGAACCGAAGTTTGATGTCTCAGTCCTCTTCACTTCAGCAGTGAGAGTGAGGGAGTTGGGGTGGCCACCAGCAGCCTAATGCTACAGTCACAGTTCATCATAATGTTGTAAAGCTGTCCTTGAAAAATATGCTAGCTCAAATGCAGTCTGGTATATCACTGTTTTAAAAGACTTCTCTTAAAAAGCTTTTCCTTTGCACTTCATAACCTCTCTTTGTGCATTTGTACTCTGTCCAGACAAGCTGGTTTGCGAGGTGGATCTGTAGCAATCTCTTCTTCTGCCTTGTGTTCCTAATTATTTAGCCTTTGAGGCTTGACAATGAACTCCTTGTATGTGATGGTAAGCAACAGCCAAGTGAATGCTGTCAATCTCAGCTCTTTACTAAAGAAGGGGAGTTTATCCTGTCATTTCTCTTTTCCCTCTATCTAATCAACTTTTACAGTGCACTTGCTTTTATTTTCTGCTGTCCCTACTCTACTGTAGCAGATATTATTGCTTCCCTTCTTCCTCCTGTAAGCAGTAATTTGAGGGGAGGAGTCGGTCACTGCTCTGCACTTGCTATGGCGTCTGGAATACCAAGGCTGTAAAAACAGATTGGGTTTTCTGAGCTGTGTCCAGTCCTAAAGCTAGTAGGTAGCAAACTGGTTTTTGAAGCCTTGAGAGAACTTCCCCCATAAAGGCTGAACGAGGCTGAAAATAACAGCATGACTTGATGTCATGGCGGGTGTAGGGAGGAGGTAGAGGCAGTTTCCAAATGAATTGTTCTTTCTTTTCCCTCTGTCTTCAGGGACTCTTCAGCATAGTTCCTAAAAGTGAAAGCAGAGTCAACCGTAATGACTCACTGCCCACGATAAAGGCTTGTAGAGTGCTGCTTTTCTGGATACAACTGCGTCTGTGCCCTGAAGGAAGTACAGTCTGCTTCTGTTATAGCGCTTTGTGAGCAAGCCCAACTGTTCCTGAACCAAACTTACTTAAGGGTGAGTTGATCATAATCACTTGTTTTTAACCGTGCTTTAAGTTGTCAAATAGAAAAACCTCGGCTTCAATAATCAGTTTTAATCTTGACTTATGTCGATTTTTGTTTCCTTAAGGTAGGTTCTTACTCACTGCTAATCCCTAAAATACAGCTTTTCCATACTCGTTTTGATGACAGGGTAGATTCACTGTGTTAAAGTTTTCTTAAGTTACAGCACAGCTTAACTAAATTCAGATTCTAAATCTGTAACAGACTAGCAATGCAGTTTTACATTTTGGTAACATAAGTTACTAAAATACCCTTGAATGACCTGGATTCATACATATATGCATTTTTTTTCCTTTGGAAGACATGTTTTGCATGTCACATAGCTAGCTCTTCTTTAAAAAACAAAAAAAAACCAACTAAAAACCTCCCAACCTTTTAAAGTCATTTGAACCAGTTGTGGTCTTGCACAATTCCATTTAAGATCTATGCAATCTGTATTGGCATCCTCACATTTTACTTGCTGACTGAGAAGATAACAGCTGTATTGGCTCAGATGGAAGGACTCCTGAGCCTGATGTCCCACCTCTTGTTGTGGTCAAGCTGCTTAGAGAATAAGGCAAGCATGTTGTGATGCTGAAACCCTTTTAATGATCTGTGGTTTAGGAATTTCTTGAACCGGAAGTCAAGATCTTGTATTTTTTTGCAATTAGTATCCCTTGAGGGATTCCTCCCTGCCCCCAAGTTAGCCTTCAGTTAATTTCTTAATACTGAACTTTTCACCATGCTAAAAGAAGATAACGTACTTCAAACCTACAGAAGCGCCTGGGAGAGCTTGTTTGCAGTGCTTTTCCAGTGACAGCTGTATGTCCAGAGACTTGCTTATACGACCCGTGTCTGTCTTCCCAATAACGTTGTTATGATCTTGTCCCAATTGGCAGCCAGCAATTGCACAGTTGCCGGTTGGCTCCGACAGTAGGGAGCCTTTCATATTTGAAAGGCGGCAACTGTCTTTGACTTTCTTTTAATTCTATGGTGCTACATGTCTGCTGTTAAATAGATTATTTAACAATTGTAGAACAGTAATAACCTGTTACAGGATATTCACCATCTCTTCTAGCTTAAATGTTAAACTTGATTCTTAAAAGAATAACATGAGTTTAGTCTTAAAAGTTAGTTATTTATTCTGGCATGCTTGAAGTGCATAAGCAGTGAAATGATGTCTTTTGAAGGGCTTTATTTTAGCTGAGACTTTACATAATGTTCTATAGAAATATACCCTATGGCTTGAAAATAGCTTGTAATGAGGCAGGATTTTGAATCCTTTTGTTCTTTCTAGCATTCTCAATTCAGTGATTCCAGGGGACTGCCCTACAATCCCAGTTACTAGCGGGCCTGTATTTATCCAAACCATTTGAAAAAAAGAACAAAAGAATGACTGAAACAGTCTTGAATCCCAAAAAGGGGAAGAGTGGGTTGACGCTAGGTCCGAACAAGCATACAACCTGCACAGAAAACACCCCTTTCAAAATCCCAGTTAGATTTGTTGGTGTTAAAATGGTGTCTGTAGTTCCTGTTTATTTCAGGGTCGGTACTTGGTGCTTCTTTGGGTGAGAATCCAGTTGATGTAGGCATGTTCCAAAACGACGTGTTTATGTGCAGATGGGTTAAACACAGAGTTCACTGTTAAAACTATTGTTTGTTGAGGTAAGAACTAGTTCTTTACAACTTTGGCTATTTTGTAGAGTGAGTCTGGAAATGACACTCAATATTCCTGATGTGAAATGAGAACCTTAAATGCGCAGCCTTTACTTGTGTGGCTTGAGCAGTATGTCTCTAAAGGGTGAAGAACAAATGAAGCTGTTAATACCTCCCACTTTTAAGGATAGCAGCTAGATTTAAGGACAAAGTTGTTCCTCTGCATCCAAAAACCATGGAAGAACTGGGAAGTAATAGGTAGCGTAGAAAGGAGTGGTATGTGGGTGGGAGCTACTTAACCAGTGAACTTCCTACTCCTCCTCTTCCTTCCTTTCCCCCTCCCCACAGTACACTTCAGGTACAAACCTTATGTTTCCTAGGTGCTTTATCCACCGAGACTGATTCTGTTTACTAAAATAGGAATTTTTCTGTTATTCATCAGAAGTAGTAACACTGACTCTTGTTTTGGGTTTGCTTTTTCAGACCTCCTTCTGGATGACCAATGTGTATTATAACCGATTATATCGGAAACTAAGTCTCCAACTTCCCATGCATTCCAGCTGGTAGCAACGCTTATAATGCAAAAAAATCACAATTCAGGATCACACAAACATTACTCTTAAAACTTTCTAGATGATTGTAGTTGCTTTGGTTGTGTTCTATGCTAGCAGAAGCCTTTTTCAAGGTTTACTGTTGACTCTAGAGCACCACATTCCCCGCTTACTGGGAGCCTTGGGGGCTAGCAATATGGGAAACTCATGTGTTTGCCGCGATGACAGTGGAGCAGAAGACAACGTGGAATCTCAGAGTCGGCAAACAGAGAACAGTAGAGTACATGTACCTGAAGCAAGAAGCCACCCAAGGGACCCTGTCCGTCCGCCCAGGAGGGGTCGAGGGCCTCACGAACCAAGAAGGAAAAAACAGAATGTGGATGGGCTAGTACTTGACACACTGGCTGTAATTCGGACGTTAGTAGATAAGTAAGTACCTCCTCAAGGAATAATTCAACATGAATGAAAGTGTTCTTGTCTTCTCTCAAACTGTGACTCCATCCTCTCACCGATCTACACCTGACCCTCCCTGAAGCAGCCACGTGTTTCCATCTGGAAGCTTAGGAGAGGAGCACGTTTCCTAGGTAATAGAAGTAGCTCCTGAGTGCCCAGGTACAGATTCTTCCAGGAGCTGAGGAGTTTTCTCACGGTTCCTGTATGGGCCTACACTCAGGTGGGATGAGGAGTGTGCTCAGTATTTCTTACCTGGCATAGATATACAGCTTAGGAAGCAACAAACACTCCAGAGTTTGGGAGCTTCCATCCTAAAAATTGGTTGTTGTGCAAGATTTCTGTTTTCAGGCTATATTTAATTCCTTGGAAATGGTTAAGCAAAACTGAGAGCTTTGATCTTTGTTAGCTTGTATAAACAGACTGAGGTTTTCTTTCCAGTTATAAGTCTGACTACTTTTTAAAGACCGCATGTTGTGGCTGTTCGACTCATGATCCCAGTATTGCATTCCTTGCATGCTCAAAGCATCCATTAAGGGTGTGGGGGATATTTATGGATTCATCCTTTTTTTTTTTTTTTTTTTGGTTTTGTGTTGTTTTCTACAAAGCTTTAAAAGGACCTTAAAAATGATGGGTTAAGTTAACTCATCACCTTTTGCATTAGGTGCAGGCTAGGAATTGGAAAGGCCAAAACAGAAGGAAAAACACTGTTGTAGCTTCACAGCTGGGGTTTAAGGTGGATGAGGCTCAGGATAAGTGAGCCTTGATTCATATACCTGCATTGTTACTCTGGAATGTGCCTGCAGAGGAGGAGAGTTTGCCTTCCTGCTGTAAAATGCTTGAAATGGAAATACCAGGACACATTTTTTTTTCCCCCCGAACATCTAAATCTAAGAGGTTATTTAACAGGTTTTATTTTGTGGTCTGTGTTCAAATCATTCAGTTAAAATCATGGCCAATTTTTTTGAAAGTCTCTCCCTAATCTCACATGCCTTCCCCTTTCCCCTAAGTTCAGCTCCTTCAGCTGTTTCACAATGCTTTTGTGCATAGTTGTTTCTGTTCCTGTGGGTCTTGCAATCAGTTTTGTAATCTTGTAAGCGCTTTCCTATGCTACTGAGGGACAATAACCATAGTTATTTCGCTGATCCTGGAGTCCTGTTTCTGACAAATTCCTGAAGCTACTGTTTTTTTGTTTTTTCTTATACAGACTCCAGTGAAATACTTTCTTAGACTCACATAGTCACATAGATTGGAAGGGGGACCTCTTGATGTTCATCCACTCCAGCCTCCTGCTTAAAACCCACGTCTAGTGGGAGCGGGTGGCTCAGGGTCTTATCCAGTCAAGTGTTGAACATCTTCAGAATATAGAGATTCTCTACCTCTTTGGGTCCCTGGTCCAGTGTTTGACCACCCCCATGGTTTAAATAAGTAAATATTTTTAAAAGTTGGAATTTCCCATGTTCCAACACATCCCTGTTGCCTCTTGTCCTGTTGCTGTGCACCTCTGAGAAGAGCCTGACTCTGTCCTCTCTGCTCTTTCCCATTACATAGTTGCAGACAGCAATATGATTTCTCCTCCTTTCCACTACCCCCCCTTAAGGATGAACAAACCTGTTTCTCTCAGCTGCTGCTTGTATGTCATGTCCTCCAGCCCTCAACCATTTTGGAAGCCCTTTCCTAGACACATTCCCTTATAGCAATGTCTTTCTTGTCCTGGGGAGCCCAAAAGTGGTACTGGTATACTGGTTTCACTTGTTTAATATTAAGGCAGTTGGTAAGACACAGCCGGTTTTATAACACAGCTAAATATTACAAGTTCTTGCAGATAAGACAAAGACCTATGGCTATGAATAATGGAGGGGCCTGTTCACGAGGCAAACTATCTAAATGTGTCTGAAAAAAGTTTAAGGAGCCTTTCTGCTAGACTTGAAGCTAATGATAGCCCTTTTTAGATTAATAGGAGTGCTCACTTGGAGGAAAAAAAAAAAAAATCATGTCTGGAAATTTTGGGTTTCAGTGTAAGTGAGAGACTGTAGGAATAAGTATGTTCCATTATCACCTGTTCCTCCTAGAGCCTGATTTTTCAGTTTTGAAAACACCACAACTGAGAGAAATGGTAGGGAAGCTGACAAATCTCTTTTCATGTCAAAAAATGTGTAAGAATAAAGTCAAACTAAAATGCAACCATGTAAGTAACAGGAGGTTGGAAATATGGGCTTCAGTGTGATAGTACATCCTTAAAGAGCAAAAGATAGCAGTCTGAAGAATGGAAGGCAAAGCCTGTTTTCTGACAATTTTTTTCCAAACTCTATACTGAAAGTTAATACATGGGAACACTCTGACATGAATTGTAAATTAAGATGTTATACTGTGATCTGCAATGAGCAGTTGCTTTCCCTGTTTGCTATTTTTTTGGGTTTTCTTGTTTGGGGCTTTTTTGTTTCATCAAAATCTCAAAGTTCAGACCTAAAACGTATCTGACAACTGCTTTTTTTCTCTCATATCTAGAGATACCTCCTTTCTAGAAGGAAAGGAGTTAAGTTTCATTTCCTAGCCTCAGAAGGATAAGTACTAATTTTTGGAGTTTATATGAAGTGCTGCTTTGCAAATTAAGAAATTAGCAAAATGACTGTTTGTTTCCAAATGAGTAAGGTGTGTGCTGGAGGGGATGTTTGGAAATTAAGTGGTTAAAACGGCAAATCAGTGGGACAGGATTTTGCTCGGTGCCAGTACTGCTAACATCTGCCACCCATGACAGAATCAGAAATCTTGCTGATAAAAATTTCATCCTTTTTTATCATAGCCTTTACTTGTATTTACGGGGGTTTTTTTCTTCTTTCTTTGAGTCTTTACATCCTTTCTCTTGAGGTAATTCTGCTTGCAGTATCACACTTCTTTTTCCTGCTGGGGAGGTTAGTTTCCAGAAGAAAGGCAAAGAGATGCTTGGAGGGGAAAAAAAACCCCAACTATTTGTTTCAAATGTTACGGCAATATAAAAATGGGTTGAACTTCACTTTAGCATTTTCTTGTGGAAATATTTAAGAATGTGTTAATTTTTTTTTAAGAAAAGCATGTATTTACATTGTATATTTTTAGTGAAAACTGAGGGTTTTCTCTTCTTTTGTAATTAATCCCTCCAAAGTAGGTAGTTCTATTATCTGCATGATTAATCTGTATTGAAATTTTCTAAAATTCATCTGTATTTCACATTTCATTTCAGAGCTGTGTGATAGGAATTGAGTGTGGAATGTATCATTCTAAGCCTGGGGTTAGTTCGCAGTGCCTAAGTAGCACTGAATAAAGCGTTTAGGACATGCTGCTGCATAAGCTTTTTCTGGACCTGGAGGTGCTTACTGAGTAGGATTTTGAGATCTTGCTTTAGGTACTTTCAATGGCAGTGCCTGCTCAGATAAACACACCTGGCCATAGCTGCTTATCCTTGCTCCAGCAAACCAGACTGAGGAACTGATCTAATTGAACTTTTTGATTTTCATGTCGGAAAGGGGATTGGATTAAATATCTTCTGTTAAACTGCCTTAACTATTTCTTACAGCTCTTGTTAATGAATTTGAAGTCTATGATGCTGTTAGGTGGCTTGCCTTTCAGTTTTGTGGTTGTTTTTTTTTTTTTAATATTTATATATTTAGCAGAGAATTTCTGGAAAAAAATCATGTTTAAGCTATGTCCCTTGTGCACTGCTCTTGGTTCACTTCATGACCTCTGACCATGTCTCTTGTTACGTACTCCGAGGAGCCCTGCTAATGAATAGCACTAAGCCTGAGCCTTACGTTCAGCTTTTAGATGTGCAGATATGGATCACAATTTCATTTATCAGCTATAGTAGATATGCAGATGTTGACTTTGAGCCAGAGGAAGGCTTAAATCCCATCTGTGTTTCAGATCTGAAAATGGCATTAGCAGTCTGCAGCCTATGTAACTTCCTTTTGTTAAATACTTACTGGATTCATTTTCAGACTGTGTATTATCATTTTATTCAGTGTATTATGTTGATGATTGCGCATAAATTTTGACCTCTGCAATATCTCTTTCAGTGACCAGGAGCCTCCTTATTCAATGATCACGTTGCATGAAATGGCAGAAACAGGTATCGAGGCACCGTGTTGGGCATTTCAGTTGTGTAGCAGTATGTGTTTTGACTTGCTGTAGCTCTAGGGATGTGGGTTCCAAAATGTAGTTCTGCCCTTCAGAAGCTTCACTGAGCTCATTGCGTTTGCCTGAGTTTTTTTGAACTCCGTTAAACTTCCCACGTGAACTCTCCAGAAGCAGCCAACGGATGGCCACAAACACATTGTAATGGCATTAAACCGTAAGCCACAAAGAATGTCTGTTTGCAGTAAGGCAGAAACAACCCATATATGTATGTAGACATGGTTTAAACTCACGTGCTCCAGTGTTGGCAAATAGTACATACTTTTTGTTTTGGGTTTTGCTGTCCTTAGACCTCTGCTTTATTGATGTTGTTGTTCCAACCCTGCCCGTAAGTACTCCTGCAAGATGAGCCGTGTTTGTGCAAGGGCTGTTTTATCTTTGTTACAGTAGGAGAAATTCTCCCAGCTCAAGACCTCCACCAGATTTCTGATTAGATGAATTTTTCTCTCTCTTGGTACTGGTCTTAAGAAGTGTATTTCTATATCAAAATAAATTAATCAACCTGATTAGATATTACAGCAATTCAGTAAAATGTTTTTCAGGGGAATGTGCTAACAAAACTCAAACCCTACTGTGTTACTTATATTTACTTGTCATTGTTGAAGGGAGCGCTAAGTCCCTTCAACCTCACTCGCTTGTATGCAAATTCAGGCTCTGTCTTTATTTTCACTTCTGAGGGAACTACTTTCTTGTAAATCCAAATCTGTTAACTTTATTAGTAGTTTAACATCTTCTATGTGGATTGTTGTTTACTTGCAAGTAGAAGCCCTTGTCTACTCATTAAACAGTGAGAGGTGTTCCTTATGAAAGCAAATTTTCTTCAGGCCACCAGGCATGGGACAAGCTAATGCAGTTCCTCTGAGGCCCATGTTACTTGAGGGAACTCAAGAAGAGTGCTCTGATTCTGGCCAGAAGAAATATTTCTGCAGTGTCATCGTGGATGCAGCATTTAACACTTAAGAGTTGACATTGGAGACTGAACTCTTGAGTATCACACTGAAACAAAGTGCTTGTCCATACTGGTCATGAGTGTTCCTTCCTAATACTAGTTGGAACTGGGATGCTCTGGCCTGGGCAAGACTGTTCTCCAAAGAATAGAGGTGTTCACTATGATCCAAGCTGCTGTAAGCTTTTTTCCCTCCTTGAATTTAAACTTCTGAACAACTGCAAACTAAGACGTTGATGTAAAAAGTAAAGTTTTTTTTTTCTTCTTCCTAGTGTCTGTAAACTCACTGGGTAATTTTGAGGATTTTTCGATTTACATTTATGGACGTATTTTGAATACTTTAGAATTGCAGTGTTAATTCTGAGCGTTACTTCTGTTTTGTGGTTTACAGATGAAGGCTGGTTGGAAGTTGTCCAATCTTTAATTAGAGTTATTCCATTAGAAGATCCCCTGGGACCAGCTGTTATAACGCTACTACTTGATGAATGTCCACTGCCAACAAAAGTGAGTCTAAAGCGTATGTATTTATCTGTGGCTGAATTTCAGTTATTTGTGGTTGCCACACCCATGATAGCTTCTGGGTGGGTTTCACCAGCGATGCAAGACTCTGTTAGCTGTTCAGAAAATGGGTGTAACTTGCAACTTTGAGTAATTTGTGATGACTTGGTATCTAATTGTAACTTAATGCTAGAAGCACTGTAGGGGGGGAAAAAAAAGACAGGAAAAAAGTCCCTGGAGAAGAACAAGAGGCCTTTGGACTTTAGCTGCTTTTCTGTCCTCTCCCGCCATGTGGTACATACGTGCTGTGCAGTGAGTGTGTACAGATGCTGCAAAAGCAGTACAAGTTCTGCTGGTTTGTTCTCAAGTTCTGAAAACTGTGCATTTACAAGTCACTATTGAATTTGTTCCTGCCCTATGTGTAAGGAATGCAACAAAGTGGGTGTGTTAAGTTAAACAAATGACATTTTTTTTAAACTATGAAATATCTAGTTTTGGCAAATTTGAATACTTTTTTTTTTTTTACTAATCTGTTTTTTGGATGGAAAGATGACCTGAGGTGTTCATACTGTGTTGGTACAGGTGTTTTAGTGAGATCCTCAAGTGCTTCAAGATGCTAACCATTGTTGAATCCCTTTAAACATGATGATTGTACAGAGAATTTGTCTTTCTTTAAATGCTTGTCATAATCTCATTTCATCAGAAATTGATGATGACATCATTGCAGCTTTCATTTATCAATCTACTTCTTATGCTGCCAATTTTAGTTTTCAATTTGTGTTGTTAGGGATGTAAAAAGCTGGTAGCTTTTTGTCTTGCGTAAATGCATGAGTAGCTGGAGAGCTAGTCAAGCTCTCTAACTACCCAAAGTGGGTTTTTTTTCCTCTAGGCTATTGATTAAAGTCATCTGAGACTTTTGAACAAGTTAAATGTTGTATGATGGCTGTCACATAGACTGCAAAATGGTTTTGAATGCAAAGCTATGACTAGAAATTTTGCCTGCTTTGAAAAAGAAATCAGGAAATGGAGACCACTGTGAATGCGCCATATGAAGAGTGATTTTGTATTTTTTGCTCGGCTATACAATGTACTTGGCAATCAAATGATTTGTTTTTCAAAAGCCACATAACTTTTATTTAGGTACTTTAATTTTAAGGAGTTAGCTATGAAATAGTTGACCTTAACAAAACAAAAGGAATAAGGTGCCTGTTTCTGGGGTGCACAGAGGGTTTTCTCCTGTGCAATCCTTTTACGGCAGAAGGAGATGCAGTTGTGGGATCTGCTCATCACATGCAGCCTAGTAAAGTGTTTGCTGCTGTTCATTTTCTTTATTTTCAGGAGAAGTTTAAGTTTTTGGTCTTACGGGTTTTAAGTCAGTGCCCCACTTCCGTGACAGCTGGAGAACAGCAGCAGGCTGTATTTCATTTTCTGTTATTATAGGCTATAAAGTCCATAAAGTTAAAATGGCAGTGCAGTAAACTGTTTATTCTATAAAGTCTTTATTTAACTCAAAATAGTTGATCTCTCTGACAGTTCTAATAATGGCTAAAAGCAGTATCAGAGTATGTCAAGAGTCTAATTTTAGTGAGGCTCTTCCATCCCAAGTCTGTGGCTCAGTCATCCTTTCTTCTTTCTCTATTCTTTCCACTTAGCATCAGTCCTGTTCATCAGTTCTGTTTGTGTGGCTTTTCTTTTGGCAACATAACTAGTTCTCAGTGTTATCTCTGTACAGACCTCAGACTCTAGCACAGTAAACTGATTTGAGTGTGGCCCAGAATACGGTTCAAAAAAACATATATATTCAACTGAGCAGTACTCATTTTTTCTCCAAATGGCCTGCTGATGACTTCAATATGAGGAGTTCTTCTATTTTAATTAGATTCTAGCCTGAGATTATGCAGTTTCAATCTGAATCAGCTGAAACTTTCATGAAGTCTGGAAAGTTGAGGCGGATTTGGAACTTTGTGGGGTGGGGTTCTCCCTGTGGGATAATTTGTTCTGGCTTTAGGTTAACCCCTAACTACTCTGAAAATGAAGGGTATGCTCTAGATCTATCTTGAATTTTATCCATACCATATTGCCTGAATGAAGCGAGTCAAAGCATGGCACTTTAGATTTATTACCCTCATTGGTTACTTCCCAAATTAGTGTGACTACAGAAAGCCATTTATGCTCTCAAGAGTATCATTTATGACGTCCTGTAAAGCTGACGGCATCCTAAATTTATGATGGGGATGTGGGCTCTTTTTTTTGGGGCATGTCTCTTTAATTCTGAATTTTAAGGTCTAAAACAGCCCTTTGCTTTTGGGAAGGGTGTGAGTTTAAGGACACTGGGAACAGATTAGATGGCAGTAGTGCCATATGTGCCAGTTGGTATTGTTTGCCTTTGTCTACTATTCTAGTTCCTGTTGCTATAGGTAGCTCACTTTTGTATGTCCAGAGGTGTCTGAGTTGTTGATCACAACAATGACCAACAATCTGGTGGTAATTTTAAAGTTACAGCTCTTGGGTACGTTGAACTTCTCTTCCCATCTGTTCTTTATTATCTTGGAAGATCACCATCCCATGCTGTCTGTAATATGATGCTGACTTTAGTAATATAGTGTAAAAATAATTTGTTGTACTACATTGAGTTGGGGGGGGGAAACTGTATCTGTCAGTAATGTTGAAGAGATTTCTGATTTTTCTTTTTCAGGATGCATTACAAAAGCTAACTGAAATATTAAACTTAAGTGGAGCTGCTGCTTGCCAGGATGCTTGTCACCCTGCCAAACACCGGAATACAACTGCAGTACTGGGCTGCTTAGCAGAGAAGTTAGCAGGTAAAGCCGCAGGATTCTTCTGAAAGCTTGCATTTGGCTCACTGAAGCACCTTCTGCTTTAGCGCCCACAACGCAGACTAGTTCAGAAATGTTTTCTTAGAACTGAATAATGTTCTGCATCGAGGGGAGACCTTGTGTGACAGAATCTACTGCTTGATTAAAGTGTTGAACACTCACTAGCTTGGGTCTGAATGAGCCATTCACAATCCCAGATACTTAAAAAGATCAAATCCTTCTGATGTGTGGTTAGTGATTGTGGATCGATGTTTGCTTATGGTCTGTTGCCTTAGCACTGGTAATCAGTCTTTTCTGTAGACCTACTCTGGCTGTGTGTGAATTTCTGAGAACACATAGTTCTTTAGCCAGTAGGCAGGAGTATCGAATTAGTCTTGGAGGCTGTATAGAAACAAAAAAGAAAGATGGTCTTTCCGCTAAACATGTATTGTTCTATTGTAGTTAGCTGAAAAGATTCTCTCTTCTGTGTTACTTAAAAGAAAATTGCTGGGATTCTGTTTTAAGGTGACTTTTCGTCTAGAACTTTTTATTCCCTGTCACTTCTAGTACACTGCTGGAAACTGATGATTAAGTTTCCTTCCT